TTCTCTGAATATGTTGTTTATATTCTATGGTACTAACTGGATTATATCTTTTGGTATATACTTATATTTTTAATAGACACAGAATTAATATTCCTGAAATAGATGAGTAACCAAGTTTTCACCAGTTGGCATCAATTCTGATTTGAGCCACTTAATTGGATATTTTGCTATTTTACTAAAGGCATCTATCATCTGCATCAACACTTGGACATTGTGTTTAGAAATAAAGTAATATCTGCAAGTGAAACCAATGTATGTTCAATTGAGTTATTCCCTAATTCTATTTTGTCTAGAGGCACAAGCCAACGGTAGCATGCAGATATTAAAAAGCGAGGGTGAAAGTGGACATCCTTGTTTAGTTCCTAGGAATAGCAGGAAAGTAGGAGAAAATATGTTTTACTTTAGATGTGAGTAACTCATATAGTATCTTGATCCCATTTATTAATTCCAAAAGAAAGCCTATTTCCTACAATTTAATGTATTGTTCATACATTTTTTCAAAGGCTTTTTCACATCTAATGATAAAATTGTAAATTTATTTTTTACATTTATTCAAATCTATTAAATCTGTAACTACCTTAACACCTGTTTCTTGTTTAGTTTTTATGAATCCTGCTTAGTCATTCTGAATAATGACTATATCCAGATATAATCTATTTGCTAGTGCTGCTATTAATATCATTGTATCAACATTGATTAAATGAGATTGGATGAATTGGAACATTGAATATGCTCTTTAGCTGCTTTTGACGCAACAGAAAAATAAGCCTGATTAAATGCTGCTGATAAGATTCCCTCATCAAATATTTCCTCATATAATTGACAAAATTTAGATACCAAGAAATCTATAAATATTTTATATCACTCAATAGAGAGTCTATCCAATCCTGGTCTTTCCATTTTTGGAATCATTTCAGATAGATGAACAAGTAAAAGTTGTTTTTGTGTATCAACTGTTGTAGGTTAACTTTATTTAAAAAGGCATTTATATCTTCATTCAGTGTATTCTTTGGCTTGCTGTAACATTCTGAATAAGTTTTAAAAATCCACAGTTTATATCCATTGGAGTTTTATATATTTCATCCTTTTTATCTATGATGATTTGAATTATTGCCTTATCTTTCTTTTGCTTTAAATGACGAACCAAGATATTTCATGACATCTTTCCGACAGTTTTTTTAAAAAAATTGAGACTAGAATGCCTGTTGCTAAGTGTCATGGTCATAAAGTGCAACTTCATGTGAATGCATCACTTAGCCCTGGTAGTTCTGGCACTTCCAGTTGCCACTATTAAGCAAATCTCATGCCATTGTTAAATGCAATATCACGTGATCACCATTTGCAATTTCCAGCTGGCTTCCATAGACCTGTTTGACAGAAGCTGATAGTGAAGATCACAAATGGTGATCATGTCACCATGGGACAAGGTGATGTCATAATTGCAAGCCAGTCACCAAGCTCCCGAATTGTGACTTCAGGGATGCTGCAATCATCTAAGTATGAGGGCTGGTACTTAGTACCAGGGGTGGGTTCCGGCAGGCACTACTGCCGGTTCACTTGTGTGCGTGCCATGCACAAACTTTGCGTGTGCATACACAGTGCAATAAAAAATTGTTCTACCATGCGCAGAAATGAAAAACAAGATGCTAGCACCTGTGGCACCACCTGGAGAGCTGGTTCAGGGGCATGGCAGGCTGGGTCTCTGCCGGTTCCAGTGACCCAGGCCAAACCGGTCTGAACTGGTAGAAACC